TGCAACCCCTTTGCGTTACGTGCAAATGAAGTTTAATTTAACAGTAGCCAAACAACAAGAGCATCTTAGCCAATTGACAAGCAGCGAACGCTGTATACTCTGTTAAATTTATGTTAATTTAAAATACTATGCTGTGTGGATAGTTTGAAAAGGGATTTGAAAGCCGATGTCGTTAAAGTAGATGAAATCTCAGTTTTTACACTTTTACCAATTATTATTATTTTATAACTTGTCTTCAATGTGATTTAATTGATGTAATCATCACATAAGAAGAACAATATGAATTGAAAACATATCAAATATTGCCTTCAGCTTTAATAGACTTAATATTTTATATGGTGAGAGAGAGAGAGGGTTTTTAAATATATGAAAGAGCTCTGAGAGCGATAAACTAAGCTCTGCTACTTGAGCTTACTTTTTTAAGTAGATATGTTAATCTAATTAATAATATAAGATTTCAATAACAATTTCTAAAAAGAAAATGCATAAAACTGCTGATTTATTAAGTTTTAATTTAATAAGTGTTAATTTAAATGTATTAGTTATAACAAATTTAATGTTTTTTAATTACATTTTTTTATTTAAAATGTGCGTAAGATTTAGCATTTTTATATATGCATATTTCCTTTGTAAAAAGTCTCATTAAAAAATGTAAAGTATTGAAATGAAATTTGTTTTAAATTATATTAATATGATTTAAGTAAATTCATACTTGTATACATACATATGTGTACATAATAGTAATAATACTATATAAAGACATAGCCTATATTTCGCTAATGTATAAATAAAATTATTTATCTATTATTTTAATTAATTTTTTTTAAATTATATTAAGAAGTGTAGACATAACTAAAGTAATATAACAAAAAATATTTATTTATTTATCAAATTTATACATTTAAAATTAAACAAAATGTATTTTTGGTTAGTTAGAAAAATTATAAATATAATGTAATATTATTTTAAAATATTTATTTTAAAATATTGATTTTTATTTTAAAATACGAGCAATTTAAAAAAAAATATACGTTTGCAATCTAATCAAACAAATTCTCTTTAAATATTCTAAAAATGTTAAATTAAAAATTTGCAAAAACTACACTTTCAAAGCTAACCCAGGACAGCTTCGCAAATAGCTTTGGAAACATAAAATGCCCAATTGCAGTTGATGCCTAGCTCGGGACTCGATTGGAGGGTACTAATTAAATTTGGCCACCGGCGACGGCTACTTTGATGCACACAGATAGAACAGAGCCGAATCTAAAGCCAGGCGCACGAAGCTTAGAGCAGCTGGCTTTCTTCAATATGGGCAAGAGACTGGCATGGCAGGCATGCTTTCAGGCGTAAAGTGTTTGATTATGGTCATTTATTCGGCACTGTCTGCAGCCCACTTTGGTGTGCGAGCATCTCACCAAACACACACACACAGCTGAGGAACGCGCACCCTATTATCTTTTGTCCCGTCATGGGGTTGCCATGGATTTTGGTTTTTCGGGCATTTGTTGGGACTCGCATCATGTTTGTGTCTGAGCGTACGATTAAAATCGCATACATCAGCGCTGTTCAAAGGGCCGCCAAGGGCGCGCTGGGACGGTGTGTCAGCCTCCAGTCGCAACTGTGGTTGATTTTCAACGGGTTAGCTTAAAGGTGGGCTGGGTGGATGAGCCGCGCCGAGCCGAGCCGAGCCAGCCGGCTGGCGTGGCCAGACAACCGTGGCTACGTCCCTAATTTGTGTGCAATCGCGCATTTAAACGCTGTTGTTTATTAATGCATTTCGTTTAACGTGTAATGCAAAATTTACGCTACGCGAAAAGCTCTACGCAGCACTGCCAGAGCATTCGCGGCACGAAAAACGAAAAGGAAAAATTAAGAGAAAAATAGAAAAACTAACATACGACTTAATTAAGCCGTCATGAACTGCAAAAACACGTGACATGCACACATGTATGTGCGCGTGTGTGTGCATTTGCCCGCTGGCAACTCAAAGGCAAAGCACCAAACATAGCAAACATGGCCAACTGGCCTTTCATACAGCACGCTGCACCCACTCTCTTGTAGCTCCTGCCTGGCTGGCCGAGCCAAAAAGCAACTGGTGATGCGTATCGTAAGGCACAGCTGCAGGAAAAAAATGCATAGCTCGAGGGATGGGACAACTAGTTATGTTGTTGTTTTATACTATATTTTTTCAAAAAGCACAGCAAATACGTTTATTATAAAGCCAAGAGCATCTAGATAGAGTTCAACGTCCATAAGGCTGGGAAATTGTGGCATGGATGAAAAACACATTAGAGTAGTAAAAAATTATATTATAATGGATCGGAAATCTCTACTGACATATATCTTTATACATTTCTACTGCAAAAGCATTTGGCAGAATAAAAACTTTTAATATTACTGATATTACGTAAGAGCTTCATATATAGGAAAGCATAGGTATTGGAAATTGAAAAAATATATATATATATTTTAGTTTTTTAAAATAATTGTTTATCTTAAAGTAAATCAAATAATAAAAATAAATTTCAAATCAACAAAGAAATCATTTGAAATATTCGTTCTGCAGGTTAACTGAGCGTGAATCACAGGGAGCAAGTATTCAAAGTAACAAAGAAGAGAATAAATATAATAATTAATGTCAACAATTAATTAAAAATAAATTTAAGAACAAATTTTTAGCATTAGTTTTCTATTTAAAAAATTTGAGCGGAACAGAAATCATTCTCACAAAAAAGCTTGGTTTAAATATTCTAAAAGACTTTAAAAATATATTGTATAAATATATATTAAATAATATAATTTCCACTGGACTTTATTAATGAACTCAAGAGAAATAGATATAATATATTTTTCTTCTCATATATATATTTATATACAAATCAACTGTTAAAAAAAATATATATAAAAAAATAAACAAGAAATATAAATGTAATTCATATATTTAGTTACTAAGCATTATGTTTATTCAAACACAGCAATTATTTTTAAATCAAACACTTTTAGAACATATACGAATCAAATAAATCTAAAACATCGGTATTTGGCAAGACCAAATTTGCCTTATTAAATGCACCATTAAAAATATTTCCGGACACACAATGGCATTTGAAGATTTGCCAAAATATTTGTATTCGCTATTAGGCATAAAGTACCGTTTATGCAGTCCAAAGACGAGACTCCGAAAATAAGGGTGGAAAAAGATAGCCCTATTTGGTGACTCTGCTATGTTGGGTTGTTAGTTGCAAAATCTTGAGCAAAAGTTAGCGTTAGAAATTGCCCAGAAAAAATGTACGCTAGAAATTCCCCTGCCAAATAAAATCCCCACTCAAGCATTGCACAACGAAGGTTTTTGCCTTTGCTATAAGATTTCAACTGAGGATTGTGAAGCAGCTAAACAATTTTAGATTTTAGATCATCTAAGTAAAGCAATCGAACTAATTTAAAATATTTGAGCTGCAAATTGCATTTGTTAAGTTGTTGTTTATATGTGGTGTGTCAAATCAAAGTCTAAAAGTTATTTGATGATTAAGAATGATTTTTGCTTTTGGCTCTATCAAAAATAATTATATATAACAATTTAGATTATGCTAATCAAAGCTAAATCTATTCCATCTACTTGCCTTACTCAAAATTAATTTTGTTCTACAATAAAGTGATTTAATGACATACAAACACACAAGCTTTACCACGTCGCTGATACACAATTAAATATATAATCAAGATATACTTTATTACTAAAGAGAGCTTGCTTACTCACGCCGATAACGAGACACGAGCCCAATAGAAGACATACGTATAGATTGAACTACACCCGATATAAATTTTATATTTATATTTATTTATTGTGTGCGTGTGTGTGTATCCGGTTAACCCGTTCGAGCATGCGTAGAACACACTCATGTATGTATATTTATATATATGTTAAGTATATATTTGCTTATACACACGTGTAGACTAACAAATAACATATAGCTGCTAATCACATATATAGATAGACTAACATATAGTATAAAGTCTCTCAATTTCTTCTAAAGTTTTGCTTAGCCAAACCGCAGAAATAGCTTAGGCAACAAATGCTTATGTGCTCTTCAAATAATACATGCATCCTACTGTAGAACAAAGAATAAATAATATACTATAACAAATACAAAATTATATAAGTAAACAAAACGTGCTTAAACTCGAATTGTTTTCCTACTACAATCCGTTTTTTTTTCGACTATTCATATTTGTTATTCATATCTGGTATACTCATCTGCTTAAAAAATTTAACCAGCAATAGTTGCAAAAACATATAAACTGTCTTACGTCGCATTTTTGTCAAATATTCTCTAACTAAACTCTGCTTTTTAATTTGTTCAGACACAATTATTTCAGCCAATGCTAGAGTATGTAAATAAACAATAATGACTAGACTTAAAACTGAATTGATAATACGCTCAAAATCACACGAGAAATTTTTCAAACTTGTTTGTGACATCATTGAATGCACAGTGGCACAAGAACTAAAGGAAATTTTGTTGACATTTTACGTTTGATATAATTAAGAATTAATTTAATTAAATTAAATTTTCACTTGAAACATTTTTGATATCTTTTGCTTGTAGCATATTTAATTGTTTGTTTTTTTCTAAGAATTTTATGCACAATTTAAAAAAATTAATTTAAATTGAAATAAAAAATTATATCATTATAATTTTTTTTATACTTTTTTATATTTTTTTATTTTTTTATTAACAAAGACAAAAAATATTTTGAACAATTTATGTTACTTTTTTATTTATTTAGTTATATATTATTTTTTTTATATGCCACATTTTTTTTTACATTTCTTCAGCCTCCAAAACTCTGCCTCATTGTGCGCTGATTTATGCATGATGACACCACAGTCGAAGAGAGAGCCACATTAGTGCGAAAAGCTACGACTAAAATGGCCCTCAGCAAATTTATCAGTATATAATGTCGTGTTTTTAGCACACATACAATCAGTTGCGGTTGAAAAGTCGTCAAGACACCTGCTTGGAAATGGTGATCATAAAGAATGTGGAAAACATATCGGTGCCGGAGTATCTGAATGAAGGCTTCTTTGTGGATGCCCTAGAGGATGGTTTGCGCGAATCGAAAATCAAACTGCACGAGATCAATTTCGAGTGGGGCAGTAATCCGGGTGATAATTACTGTTCGGCGATTTATCGGGTGCTGTTGAAGTTCGCGCGTTGTCTCGAGGCCAAAGAGTCGGAAAAAAGTGAGCAGCTATCGCTGATTGTGAAAACAATTCCGATCACAGAGGAGACAAAGTTTTTAGAGGATGTCAAGGTGTTCATCAAAGAAAAGCAGACCTATACGGATATATTGCCGCGCCTGGAAGTGCTTTCCAATGGCGATCGATTTGGTGCCAAGTGAGTTGTCGAAAACCGTCTAAAAGAAAACCCTAGAGTCTCATGGAAATTATATTCCAGATATTATTATTCCGTTAAGACGCCAATGCAGACAATTGTCTTTAATGACCTGAAAGTCGATGGCTACAAATTGGCATCGTGCGGAGCCAGTTTAGATTGGGAGCATGCCTCACTGATTCTACAGCAGCTGGGCAAACTGCATGCCACCTCCATGGTCTTGGCCAAAAAGGTAATAAATGCCATGCTGTAAATACTTATAGATAGCCACTTTATGCCTTACTCCAAACAGGATCCGGAAATTGTTAAGCAATATCATGGCGGCATGCTGAGCGAGGCAACTCTAATCGAATCTGACACATTTGAGAGTATGTTTGGTGGCTTCCTAAAGGGCCTCATCAAAGTTGCATCCACCTGGTCGGGCTACGAAAAGATCACAAAGAACTTGCAACGCTTTTCGGACAACTTCAAAAACGTTTGTGTGGCTGCCGCGAAACCGAAGCCAGATGATCGTTATGTAGTGCTCAACCATGGTGATTTGTGGACAAATAATTTTATGTACGCCTACGATGATGAGGCACAGCCCGAGCTACCCACTCGCGTCATATTCGTGGACTTTCAGCTCAGTTTCTACGGCAGTCCAGCCTGCGACTTGAACTTCTTTCTGAATTCAAGTGTCAAGCTGGAGTTGCTGCAGCAGCGGCGAGAGGATCTGATCAAGGTCTATTACGAAACATTCCGTGACGCCTTGGAGTACGCACGCTTCGACAAAATACCCAGCTACGAGGACTTACTTTGGGAGCTGCGCAGCCGAGAGACCTACGGTCTATTTGCCCTATTCGGCTTTCTGCCCATCATAACAATGCCAAAGGAACTGGCCAAGGACAACAGCATTGAGAACATGCAGGATGAGAGCTTCAAGCAAAAGCAGTTGGACACAATTTTCTCGCAAAGCTTTCTCAACGATCATCACAAATGGTCGTTGAAGCGCGCCCAAGAACTGGGCGTCTTTGATGACTACTAGACAAAAGCTCTATTTGGAATCGAGGGTTCAACAACCTGAATTTAACGCATAGATGGCTATAAAGACGCTTCCACAATGGACTGTCCAGCTGTATGTCTGAAGGGTTTATTCTTATGTCATACTTGATTTAGCTTTTTATAGACCAGAGTTCAATTAAAATGATCTAACGTAGCTGCGCTACTCAACTGAATCTAATGAATTTTTTATTCTGTTGCCTATGTTTAGCAATCTGTATACAAGAGCGATAACAACATGGAAATAAAACAAAATAGACCAAATTTGGGCGTTATTATGCCGCTGATAACGAAATAGCCGAAACAAAACTTAAAACACTGATTACGTTGAGTGCCTACGACAATAATAAAGGCAGATAATGTTTATACTGATTGCCAGTGAGCTGCATTCGTATTTTTTCATTTACTCGCTGATTATGCAAAAAATAAAAAATAAAACAAGTTTTAGTTACTCAACTACACCTCAACTACAAATTTATTTATCTTTTTCATTAGTTCAAACCCATGTTGAATGGGTTTTGTAACAAAGTCTATGACAGGCAGAAGGAGGCGTGGCATATCCTATAAAGTATTTATATATTTTTATACTCTTGACTAGGACGGCGAGGCAGATCTAGCCGTATTCAGCTTTTCTTCTCCCGAACTTTTAAAAATGTATTTCAAATACTAAAGACTTGTGCTTTACACATCTCGATGTTATTCTTACGCTCTGAAATTAGATTTAGACAGTCTATCTAGAAGAAAAGTTATTCAACAATTTATTTTCCATAAGAACAGCTAGCTGATGTGTGTGTGTGTGCATGTGTGTCTGTGTGTGTTTTGGTTGTTTGCTTTAAAGGAATGTTCAGGGTATCTGCTAGTCGGCTGCTCCCGTCTACTAGTTGCTATTCTCAGTTGTCAATAGATAAGGAAAAAGGCAAAATTTTTTAATTTTTTAATATTAATATATGTAGGATATATATATATATATACCTATATATATAGGTATATATATAATGCACCACTATGCACTTAAATATTAAAAAATTAAATTATATATATATATATATATATATATATATATATATATATATATATATATTTATTTATTTATTATTTTATAAATATTAAGTTATTTTTTTAATTTATATATTTTATAGAAACATTTGAATTGCTTTTGAGAGAACGAGATTGTTTAGCTAACTGGAAAAATTTATTTCTAATTTAAATATCATATTCGTGTTATTAACAAATAAATATAAATATGAAATCAAAATGATAACAAATGTAAAATAGGTAAAAAATTCATTTCTATAAGATAAAACAGGTCAACAAAATTTATTTAAATTTACTAAACACAATTTAGACTACAATTTGTCTATTTATCACGCCAGCTCTTAGCGATTAATTAAAAAAAAACTGAAAGTGGAAATAAAATTGAATGAATTTAGCAAATTCTAAAAAAATTAAAGCCATTCGCTAGCATTCAATAAATTCTTAAACTATCTGAGATGTCCCACTTAACAAAGCTAAGCCAATATTAATTTTGAAATGAAAATGTTTGATTGGAGTTCAGCTTTTGTAGAGTGCATCAAAAGCAGCCACCGCTAATCCAACGTCGAGACATCGAATGCATTTCCATTGAGCCAATCAAGTGGCGAGCAGATGCACCCAAAGACGTTCCATTGGGGTTAATTGGAACTGAACTAACCGGATACTTTGATTTTGTATATAAAGCGTTCGGTCAACACGTCGAACTGATTCAAAGCCAAACATAATGTCGGGTACAACGGACACGCTGCCGCTTTACTTAACGCCACAGTTCTTCAGGCGCAGCCTGGAGCACGGCCTGCAGCAGCAGGACTTAAAAGTTCTGGACGTCCAGCTGACCGATCTGACGCGCGGCGGCGAGAACTACTGCAGTAACATATATCGAGCGAGTGTCAAGTACGAGACAGCCGAACGCAAGCAGTTGCACTGTTCGCTGATTGTCAAGTGCATGCCAGCCGAGAAGCAGGCTATACTGGCACGCCTGCACATCTATAGCAAGGAGACCGTCTTCTACCTGCACATCAAGCCAAAGCTGGAGGCGCTCATGTGGCGTTCGGTTGCACACGAAGAACCCTGGACCTTGGGCGCCAGGTGAATCAAGTTTAGATAAAGCAACTATGATAAGGGCTTCGTAACTAAGGCAATTAATAATACGAATTTCCATACTTCACATTTGTCTAAATCTGACTGCTCTGTCTAAACAAATATAATGTGGCTCTGAGGAACAAACTTAATCTAAGCTTGTTATAGAGTGTAGATAGAGCCTAGAGAATTGTAGATTTGGTGTCTCTAACCTTTTTATAGCTCGAGTCGAGCTGAAGCTTAGTGAATTATATATTTGGTATATTAGACACTTTTTGATCTGATTATATACATTCCCTGCGCAGGCACTACTACTCAACTACGCAGCCCGAGCAGACCATTATATTTGAGGACCTGTGCTGTGAGGGTTATCAGCTGAAATGCCGACAGCTGGGCCTGGATGCGGCTCATGCGATGTTGGTGATGCGTAAGCTGGCCGAGTATCATGCCCTGACTATGATCATGGCCGATCATGAGCCCGAAACCGTGATAGATCGCTATCCATTTGGACTGCTGCACATGGATGCCATCAAGTCGGAGCCCTTTAAGCTGCTCTTTGGCACTCAGCTGCTTAAGCTGGCGGCGTTGATCAGTGATTGTGAGGGGTTTGGCTCAATAACGCGCAAACTCTATCGCTATCATGAACATTTTACGGAACGTGTGCTCAAATCGGTTTACCCACTGCGAGGCGTTTATAATGTGCTCAACCACGGGGATCTGTGGATAAACAACATATTCTTCAAGTACGATGAGCACAGCAAGGTGCAGCAGGTGAAAATTGTGAGTGCTCAACATAAGGTTTCATAGACACGCCCGACTTATGCACGTTTTCTGGCAGATTGACTTTCAGCTGTGCTTCTATGGCAGCCTGGGCTTCGATGTGAACTACTTTCTCAATACCAGCCTGGAGCTGGATGTGCTTAAGACGAAGCGTCAACAGCTGATTGATGGATATTTTGATGCATTGTTGGATTGCTTGAAGCAGCTGCCCTGGCGCAAGCCATTGCCCAAATATGACGATATTATGGCCGAGATACGTGAACGCGAGGCTTATGGATTTTTTGTCGCCTTTGGGTTCTTTCCGCTCATGAGCATGATCGGCGTCGACTCGGAGGACAACTCATTGAAGAACTTTCACGATGAGGAGTTCGCCAGGCAGAAAGTGCAGCTCATGTTCGAAGGCAACGCACGCACTCTCGAGAGTCTCAAGTTCACATTGCAGCGTTTAGATGATTTGCAAGTCTTCGACTGAAGGCAACGGGCAGCGAATGCATTTCGTTATTCAAAGCGGTTCAAATACATTAGAAATTGCATCATTCTTTCAATTGAGTCTCAACTGTTTTTCGATTATTTTGTGAATTTATTACTTAAGGCCCGGGTTCACAAATAGTGCAAATTGTTTATTGTTTTAAGCCATGACCAAATGTCATTCTGATTATATAAGATCTTTTCTGATATAGCTGCCGACGTATAATGCAAATTACTATTATAAAGCGTTAAAGCGTGGCAGAGAATCATTTACAAAATAAATAATATATTAGCCAACGACAATAAACGTACCATGCCTTGCCTCTTTCCATATATTTACATACACCTAATATTAATACTAAGCAAAGTTGCAATGCAATTTTATAATATTCAAAATCCTATAATCAAACAGATTCAAAATTGATAATGCACATCAATAATGTGTGAACAATTCCAAATAAATTTGCATTCATCTGCTGTTCAGTTAATTAGCTTTAGTATAAGCCAGCAAGAGTGCAGTAGTTGAAAGTGTCCGACTAGGAGACACCCTGACCACTATTCCACTCAATTGAAATTTGAAATTTGAAACTTGAAACTTGAAGCCATAGCTAAAAAGTTTGATAATCGAGCTGACTTGGCTAGTGATTCCAATCAAGAATACATATAATACTTTGAGTTCTCCCATGCCCGGTTACATATACTATAACCACAAATCTAGAATGCTTGCAGCTTCGATTGTCAATGGGTTTAGTTTATATATAATATTTCATATCATCGCCGCTGTCTGGGGAATGATTTATTCAAAAGATTGTGAACTCTTTAATCACTTGGCTTATCGCTCAGCGTGAATCCGACACAAATTATAATTAGCCGAGTCTAGAGATTGATCTGGGACTAAGCAGTTGAGCTGGGTACGTACCAAACGTGGAATATTGTCTAAAATATTAAAATTGAGAAGTTAAATATGTTAGGTAATTAAAACGTCATTTGGGCTATTGAAATGTGGCGAAAACAACTTAAAAAATAATTATAGATAATTATAAACTGCCAAAGACTTCAAGCTGATTCGAATTAAATAAAATTGCTTCTCTGAAAGACAAAGCGAGAATGGCATATCAGAGCCAGAGACGTGAGAAAAATATTAGAATATCTGAGATGCAACTCGACTCGACCGAGAGTCAAGTGAAATGGCTAAAGATTACGCTGATCGTAGATATAAACTGAAAAGTGGGTGGGCCGCGATACATCAATTTGCGCATGACAAACTATCAATCCCAACCAAACCAGTCAGCGGGAGAAACTAATAAAACGTATTTGGCTAAATTAAATAACTGGTTTCGCGACAGTTACTGTGCGTGCGGTACATAAGTGATTTAAAAGGTCGCGTGTTAGACTTTATATTTACAGAAAGAGACAAGCAGGCGCTATTGTCGACTATTAAATGAAATTATATTCATTTATATATATATATAAATTAGTGTTATATATAGACATATACTATTAATTACGTGAATTCAAAATAAACAGACGTTTCTATGTGTAAATCCATATAAAATGCCGAACGATTCGTTGAAGCTTTTCAAACCAGTCGAGATCTCAACATGTGCAGCATTGTCTACGATCAGGAAGTGCTAGCAGCGCCGCCCAAGCATTTGGATGTGCCCTTCTTCGAGGAGGTGCTGGAGACAGCGATGCGCACTTCCCATGTCCAGCTGCTGGGGATTCACTGCGGCCTGGGCAGCAGCACCGGCGAGAACTATTGCAGTCAAATCTATCGCGTCAAATTGACCTACAGGCGACAAGATGGGACGACCGCTGAGAAGGACCAGCAGTTGGGTGTGATTGTGAAGAGCATACCGCGCATCGACTCTGTGGAGTTCATCGCGGACTTGCAGGTGTACCTAAAGGAAAAGATCACGTACTACGAACTGCTGCCACGACTCGAACTGCTGATGAAATGCAAAAGACGCTTTGGCCCCAAGTAATCAGCATCTCAAACTAATCTGAAGCAGATGCATGACTAGATAAAGTTCTCCTTTCAGGCTCTATCAGTGCATGAAACAGCCAGAGAACACGTTGGTCTTCGAAGATCTTGGCCGGCTGGACTATATGATGGGCTCACGGGAAACGGGCTTGGATGAGGCGCATGCTGGTCTGGTTATGGAACGACTAGCGGAATTCCATGCCGCCTCAATGGCGCTGGCAGTGCTGGTAAGCGAGAAGAATACAAAGCTGCCAGGGCTACATAGGAAAAAGGAAACTCTATAATGAAAGACGGTCGGTATTGACAGTCTAAAAAATACAAAGAGATCGATAGGTCAAGTAGAGAGCATAGAAGATTCTTGAAGACTCTCATCCGTATCCCTAAAATCTCAAAGATTCCATTTCTTTTCTTGTCTCGTAGACTCTCCTCATTAGTTTGCTTCATGACTTTTAGACTTATATGATAAGTTTCAGTTCTCTAATGCTTAAATGTTTTCTTTATCTGTTATACTTATTTAACCTGCTATAGAAATTTATTTTATTTTATGCTCTTGTCCAAAAGATCTGTGTTTATTCAAATGAATCGCTCGTTTTTTGAAGTAAGCTCTAGATCCAATCTTATTTTTCCATATACATAAAATCATAAAAAATACTTAATATATCTAAAAGTTTAAATAACATTGCAAACATTTTTTATTATTATTTATTTTGACAAAGTTTCATTATATATTGTGACATAATATAATAGGAAAGCAGTATGATATGTTTTAAATCAAGGGCTTATATTTACCCGAGTTATTATCTAATATTTTAATAGATGAATCTTCATACTTATTGAAATATATTCTTAAATCAAATCTTATATCTAAAAGCTAGGAAAAGCTTTCGTATGTTTTGATCTGTATATATATATAACTATAATAAATACTGCATGTGAGACTAGTTTGCTTAAAAAGGAATCCATATCCAATCCCTGAAAATCAAAGCTCAAGACTTTCCTCTAACTTTTGCTTTTCCTTCCTTTAACATTTCCCATTAGGACCCGGAAATCTTTAAGGCCTATGGCGATGGCATGCTATCACCACATGGCCTGAACAAAGACGACGGCCTGCTGATGCGTTTCTTTGCCGGCAATGGACAACAGCTGCATAAGCTGGTCAGCAGCTGGCCGGGCTATGAGCGCATTGCGGGCAAAATAGGCAAATACATGGAGCAGCAGCGGGTGAATTTGGTGCGTGCCCAGGCGCCAGTGGACAAGGAGATCAAAGTGCTAAATCATGGCGATCTGTGGGTGAACAATATGCTATTCAAGTACAATGGAACGCAGCAGCTACAGGATGTGATCTTCATAGACTTTCAGCTGAGTGTTTGGGGCAGTCCCGGCATAGATCTGAACTACTTTTTCTACACCAGCCTGAGCTTGGATGTGCTCAAGCACAAGCGGCCGCAGCTGGTCAAAGTCTATCATAATCGTCTGGCCGACACGTTGCTCAATCTGGATATGGGCGTGCCGGTGCCCAGCTATGAGCAGCTGCTGGCCGAGGTGCACCGGCGAGAGAGCTATGGGTTTTTCGCCAATTACGGTATACTGCCTACAATTAGCCAGGACAAGGCCCAAACCGCGGACAATAATCTGGAGAGCTTCAGCGACGCAGATTTTGCCCAGAAGAAAACCGAGCAAATGTTTGCCTCCAAGCGTTTGGCCGAGACGCTGCGCTATACTTTGCCGCATTTCGAGCGAGCGGGTGTTTTGGATTAAATAATAAGAGTAGATGGGTGCGCACTCACCTGGAGAAGTGTTTTAGCTTAGTTTACATATATTGCACATGTATTTACAAATTAAAATAGTTTTCCAATAAATTTACGCGCACTTTTCAATTTTTCACTTGTTGCTTCTCTTTCGCAGTTACCGTTGCACAGCAGCGCTGCCAGACAGTCGAATGTAATAGGTTTAGGCATGCAAAGTTAACATTAACATCGCATGTTAGTTAACAAAAATTAAATAAGGCATGTTAAATTTTTAACATTTATTGTTCGGAAAATAAAATACAATTTTATATATTTATTTAAAATTGCACAAATCATTATCATTTGTATTATGAAATCACCAATAAAAATATGTATACAAATTAACTGAGCGCATGGCTTCAGAACACTTCAGTTAGTTGCACACATACAAAACTACTTAGAATACAATTAAAATCATTATTATTATAATTAACATCATCGAATAATTTTACACAACAATTAAAAGGCATCGTATACATGTACAGAAGCATATATATACTCATTATCAATCAATTTAGCACTAGAATTAGGTATAAACGTTACTTAAACGCTTGTTTGTTGAACCGAAGCTGAAGTTCCCAAACCGATTTATATAATTAATTTATATAGCCTTATAAACTAAAACGACTTTACGCTTATATAAATGTGTGGCTTCTAGTTGATCTTTTTCTGTTGTTTTCATTGCTTTCATTATTATAGTTCCGTGACTGTGACTCATGCAGCGAGATAGAGAGGACGTTTGAATAATGCGCACCACGATTAGCTCCAGACATCGGCCGAATAGCGTTTCTGAGCCTCCATTTTCTTCAGATACTGCACAGCATCCGCCTCACTCATGTTGCCCTTGGTGGACAAGATTTTCGTTAGAATATTTCTAACATCCACAGCCATATTCTTGGCATCGCTAGAAAAAAACAATAGAAACTTGTGTAAATTTAAGGCAAGTGATTCAAAGTTACACGGAAATTTACCCGCAAATATAGAAATGTCCCTTCTTTTCGCCAATCACATCCCATATCAGATCGGCATCCTGCTCCAGCAAATGCTGCACATAAATCTTCTTAGCCTGGTCACGGGAGAAGGCCGTCTTCAGGGTGAGCGTGCCCTTCTTCACCCAGTCGTCGAGCTCGGACTCGTAGATGTAGTCTTCGGTGCTCTTGCGGCAGCCGAAGTAAAGCACCGACTCGCCAACCGTTTTGCCCTCATCACGCAAATACTGACGTTCCTGGATGAAGCCACGGAACGGAGCCAGCCCAGTGCCCGGACCAACCATAATGATTGGCGTCTCTGGTTTAGTGGGCAGCCGGAATTGCGATTTGCGTATGAATACGGGCACCTTGACCTCCTCGCCACCCGTCGGCTGTTTGTTCTTTAAATATGTGGTTGCCACGCCCTTGTTGATACGACCCGTGGGCGTCTTGTATTCGACCAGCACAGCGGTCACATGAACATCCGTTGGATGCAGCTTGGCCGACGAAGAAATGGAATAGTAACGTGGCTGCAGACGCGGCAACAGTTCACAAACGTGATCCAAAGGCGGCTTACAGGACTTGATGTCCTCCAGTATGTGCACCACGTTGCGACAGGCATCCTGTATCCAGCTCTGATACTTCTCCTTGCCCTCGGGGGCCAGCGAGGCCATGCTGCGCAGCAGCTCCTTGTCCGCTTCGTCCGTGCAGTACTCGGCTAACTCCTTGAGTATATGAGTGCGTGGAATGGCTGTTATTTCCAAATAGTGTGTTAAGGCCGTGCGATAGGTAGTGGGGCAGGGGAATGGATGCTTCTTGCTGCTATCCGTATCGGTGTTAATCAATGAGAACACAGTATCCAAGTCTGCATTACACAACTGTCCAAGTTTCTCCACCAGCGACTTGTCGTTGATAGGATACATGGCGACATGATCGCCGGCATCGTAGCGCATCTTCGAGCCCTCAATGTTCAGCTCAATGTGCATGCACGACCGACCGCCGCCTTTGTGCAACTCACGGTTGACGCGTATGGGAGCAAGGAATGGATTCTTGGCATCGAAAGGCGGACGCTGATTCTGCATGGAATGCAGACGCGCAATTTCACCGGTATAAATGCGATCCGGCTGCACATCGGGCTGTTCGAGCAAACGATACTGGCGTATCAGCACCTCCTCGCCGCTGCCCTCAATGCCAAAGTGATCGCAGACCGCGGGCCAGAAACGATCTTTCCACGTGATGAAGTCATCCTCAATGCTAGTAAAGCAAAGCGGAATATAAATACAAAATTAATAGATAATTGTGGGTTTAATTTGAGACACTCACTTGGCATCATCGTCGCCCAGACCCAGTTCGAAGACCCGATTGGCGCCCAGCTCCTCCAAACGCTTGTCCACATAGATGGCCACCTTGTTGTAGTGCTCGTAGGTCTTGTTGCCCAGACCAAATACCTATATGTTGCGAAACAGAAAGCAAAATACAAATTGTTACAAAAGTAATTAGCCACATACAGATAATGTTATTACACCATGCTGAGTCTGTTTGTTGTCTACGCGTGTTGTAGCCTTATTATATAAATTATTTAATAGCCAGAGCAAAGTGCGACCCGTCCACTGACAGCGACGCGTGCCAAGGCCAACAGCGACGCCGGCGCCGGCTAGCGTGCTCAGCATCGTTGTTGTTGCCGCCCAGTTTTCTGTTCCGCAGCAGCCGCCAGTGCATACGTATCACATGGCAATATTTTTCATTCAGCAAACTTGAATTATTTCAATTATGAAAACATTTCGCATCGCAAACAGTAAACAATATTGCGCAACAGTTGTGCGAGCGATGTATGTGCACGTTTCTTCGCAACAGCTGTTACGCGTCAGTGTGACCAACTAACATGACTGATAGACCACGCTACGCATTTAACAGAATGACAGCCACAAGGTGAACGAGACTTAACAGGAACTAACTATGACGTCACAAACGGACGTCCGCTTAACAGAAGCTTAATTTTAAATGCAACAAAATTAAAAACACATTGAAAAACTGAACTACAAAATAAAAGTAATAATAGTAATAGCATTGAAATGTCTGTGATGGGAATAAATGTTATGTTGTGGCAATATAAAAATAATTATTTTGTCATTTGGAATATCTGAAATATTTTTTTAATTTTATCTGCTGTGGCTGCTAGAAAAAGGTTTAATTTATTATCAACTCTAAATATCTTTTGTTAAAATTAATAATTAACAATTTAAGAAATCTTTTCAGAAAATGTAAAAATAAAAAATATTCCATTTTTATCACATATACGTTTCAACTTTAACGAGTGACTACTGTTATTCAAGCTGTCTCCCTCCCTCTTATATATTTATATATACAGTTATAATCGATGACTAATATGATTCTGCCTATCTTACTCTTTGAGTGTATTTAGGGTATATCTATAATGACTACTGTTGATTCTCTTCGTCGCACGCTCTCTCCCTCTCTGTCTAAAATATCAATTAGTTCAGTAATAATCTATAATTACCGTCCTTCCAGCTTATTTGAAACGCTTGACAGATTTCATTTCTCACTCAACGACAATCAATTTCGCTGTACACCGCTGATAGAACGCATTGATTTTACTATTGAATATTAATATGTGCATATAATATAAATATATATATATTGATAAGCTAGAATAAAAAAGCAGCGTTTCGCTTATTACACAGCTTGTCTAGATTGTAGTGGAATTAGATAAGCAAACGCTATCTGCATGTGCCACTGCTCGATAAGAAGTGCGAGTTTCGCGCGTCCCTGAATTTTAATCGACGCTTAGAGACCAGGAAACATATGCCTTATCAGAATGCCTAGTAAGGTAACTGTACACTTACCGCGTAATTGAGACCCGTTAAATCGACATCGCCGTTGGTGATCCACTCGTAGAACTCCATGGCATTGTCCGTGGGATCGCCCTCGCCGTAGGTGGCCAAGCAGAAGACGGCCAAAGAGTTCTCAATATCCTTCAGCTGCAGCAGTTCCTCCATGTCGCATTCCTCGGGATCGGCGACCATGCCCTTGAGCCGATACCGAATACCCTCTTTGGCCAAACGGCCGGCAAACTCCTCGCCAGTGCCCGTCTGCGAGCCATAGAAGACAACCAAACTGCGGCCAGAGGTTTTTAGCTTCTTAATAAACGAATTATCTGTCGCCGAGGTGGTGCACACTGTGGTTGGCCTGTAGTGGAGCAAGCGGAGGCATTCAATATTTCTGTTTAGAATAGTTGCTTATAGAGGTTACTCACTGTATGGAATAGCTGCGCACGGGCTCCTCCTCCTTCTTGCGGCTGCGCAGAAAGTAGAAGGCCGCACCGCCGATCAGCACCGCCAGCAGTGCCACATCCAGCAGTCCCAGGAAGGGCTCATCACCGGTAGCAGCAGCAGCAGCTGCTCCGGCTACATCAATGGGTGCCTGCTCACTGGCCATGGTCTAAGGTCTGACTGCAAAAAAATGGAAAGGGAAATATATAACAAAAAATATAAAAAAACGCGTGATAGTTTCGGCTTTGCATACACTTTACACAAACTCTAGCTCAAGGGGGCAGATTGAGTGGACGGGGGGCTAAACAGTGTCTTCTACACATTTACATATCGCACTTTGAGCACGCACCTAATGTATGCCACGTATGCCACACACTGTCACACACAATTGAATAGAACTCTCTCTAATGCGCAAACAGTTTTGGAGCTATTTGCATGCGCCTAACGGCAAAAAAAATAAATAAATAACAAAATCAACGCGCTTCCGCACTTGTTCTAACGGTAAACGGCGCGTCATAGCACCATCTCATTCTAACGCATATCAGCTCGCATTGACATTGACACCAAGTGAAACCCGTTTTCAAATTGTTTCTGATCTGCCTAGCCGTCTGTCTTATGACACACACAAACACACATGCGCTCTGGTATTTACGATTGTTAATATGTTTTTAATTACATTTCAAATTCGCTTTAATTGATGCACAATATAGACACCCGCGCGTTAACAGTCAACTTAATGCGCATTGTCCGTTCGCTCACCTTCGTCTGTGCGGCTTAACAGCGCACTGTTAACTAACAGCCAACCCCATAACTGACAACAGTTTTTATGCGAAAAACGCATTCGCTTATCAGCAACAGACGCTCAGCACGAATTTC